TCTACAAACATAATTGAATTTTAAGTAATCTGTTCTACATGGTATTAAAGATTCCCATTTGTTACAAATGTATCTCTAGTTTTAAAGCTTTAAATATCATTATTGCTGTATTTTTAACAATATTTTCATTACTACTTGACATAAGTGCATTAAACTTATTCATATCTGGCATTTCATAGTATTTTTTATCAATATACAAAGTTCTTATATTATCATATAAAGGACATATTAACAAAAAGTGAAATTCTGACTCTACAGTTGTTTTACAATATGGACACATACGAGCATCTCTATTAACATTTTGATATCGCCCACGTTCAATTTCTAAACTATGAGCAGAACATCTAAAACAACTATATACATTCCGATATTTCCTGATAAGTAGATAATTTACATATGATTCAGACTCAAAAGATGTTTTATACCCAGAGTAAGAAATCAGTTTTGGACTATTTAAACATTTACTGGTCCATATTTGTATATATTGATCCTTAAGTCTTTGCACATATTCAGACAAAAAAGACTTTTCATTAACAACATATTGTGCATTCCATACAAATGAAAAACCATTTGACATAAGGTTTTTTCTTAAATGAGTTACCCAATTTGTATGTCCTATGGAATCTAATGATTTTAGCATAATATAACACTTGTAAACATATCTATGTTTTGGTAATTTTAACAATTTAAGCCAATAACAAACAGCACGTTTACAAGTCAATATAAACATTGGAAATCGACCGCAATCACCTAAAACAGCTGCATTGCAAGCATATTGTGGCACAGAGAGAAATCTTTTACATGCATAATTATGAATTTGTTCTAGACATTTATGCTTTTGCAAACCCCAGATTTCTGACCCATATAAGAGAATTGGAACAACTTTCGCATCAAATATTTTAAAGTAACAATCTTTTTTTACTGGCATCAAATTATAGAATGAGGTCAACAGTGAAATCAGTACTCGTTTCCCTTTAATAGCCATAGATTCTGACATTTTATGCATGGACAATGTTGAAGAAAAGTAAACTCCGACATAAGTAAAACCATTTACAGTTTGAACAGGTTCATTATTATAAAACCATTTTTCGTACTTTGACAAGTGTCCACCATTTTTAAACACAACAATTTTTGTTTTAGTTACATTAACAGACAATTTCCAAATTTGACAATATTGATGTAACAAATTTAGTTGTGATTGCAGACCAACTACGGTGTCAGAAGTAAGCGCTACATCATCAGCAAATAACAACATAAATATTTCTACAATATCTGGTGAGAGTTGTATTCCCCTCATTCCATTTTGTTCAAAATAATCATACAATTCATTTATAAAAAGACTAAACAGAACAGGACTCAAATTGCATCCTTGTCTTAACAATGTATTTTGATCCTTTTTGCATTTGTTGTTTGTCGGATTTATCCCAAAATATGGTTGTTTCTTTGCAGATCAGCAATGTTTTACAATTTGTGTATGTACCAATGAATTCTATCAAAATGCTAGCAAACAATGAAAACAAAATCAGGATCATTTGATCCTGATTAATCAACATGGGGCCAGCACAACAAGTCAGTCGAGAAACTTTTATGAGGCCGTATAGTAATGAATCAAAGTAATGATCATTATTTGCCCGTCATAAGAGCGTTTTGTTCTATTTCAATCTGTTTTTTGTAATTTCTTCAAGATATATAAGTATCAATTTTTGTGTTCCTGTTACAGAGTAACGGCGACATACAGGAATCACTTTTCTTTCGTTTGTTCGTCTGTCTGTCCGTCACAAAACGTAACCGGACTCCTCCTCAAAAACTCCTGGTGCAAGTCCATCTAAGGAATGATAAATTCTAGTATGTCGAGTTGTGCATATCGTCGGCATTGTATAATTAAATTATTTTTGGCCCTTTTATGATTTTGATTTTTAAATTTTGTCTGCACTACTCCTCTTATTCCACTTATACAATTTAAATCTTTCAGCTTTTCCTTTATTTTTTTTCTCATTGATGATCTAAATGTTTCTTTAAATTTCGAAGGAGATAATCAACTGTTTCACTTGAGGTTTTTTATCCCCATCTGGTAAAATCTGAAATAATGAAAACATCTCTTGTCAACAACTGGTGTTTTTTTCAAAATAACCCATACACGGTGTAAAACATGAGACCTGCCAGACTTATACTTCTATAAGTGCAGGCTGACAAGATGAACGCTCAATACTGCTGGGTGCTCTGTTAATATATTAAGCATTTGATCTTGAAACTTGAACCCCTGGGCGGGGCCAATTTTGACCCCAGGGCTTTTATTTGAACAAACTTTGTAGACACTCACTAAAAGATGTTTCATGCTTAATATCAAAACTCTAGCTATTTGGGTTTTTTCAAAGATTTAGAAGATTTCTTTAAGTTTTTGCTATACACATATAAGGAAAATCAATGACCCCCGGGGCGGGCCAATTTTGACCCCAGGGCTTTTATTTGAACAAACTTGGTTGACACCTTTTAGAACATGTTTGATGCTAAATATCTTAGCTCTAGCTCTTTGGGTTCTTTAAAAGAAGATTTTTTATGTTTTTACTATATGCATATAGGGAAAATCAATTTTTGACCCCAGGGCTTTTATTTGAACAAACTTGGTAGACACTCACTAGAAGATGTTTCATGCCAAATATCTTAGCTCTAGCTCTTTGGGTTCTTTAAAAGAAGATTTTTTAATTTTTTACTATATGCATATAGGGAAAATCAATGACACCCTGGGGCGGGGCCAATTTTGACCCCAGGGCTTTTATTTGAACAAATTTGGTAGACACTCACTAGAAGATGTTTCATGCCAAATATCTAAGCTCTAGCTCTTAGGGTTGTTTAAAAGAAGATATTTAAAGATTTTTCTTTCGGTTGCCATGGCAACCAGAGTTCTGCATGGAATTAAATTCTTTAAACAATTTTTAAAGGTGACCACCAAAGGAACATTCCTGTGAAGTTTGGATGAAATTGGCTCAGTGGTTTATGAGGAGATGTCATTTAAAGCAAAAGTTTACGGACGGACGCCGGACGGACGGACGCCGGACGAAAAGCGATCACAAAAGCTCATCCTGTCACTTTGTGACAGGTGAACTAAAAAGCCTCAGTTGCCCCGTTGTGCATTATTTTAAGCACAAAAGGTCACCCAAGTAGAACAATTTACATTCCATAAGCTAGCTAAATAGCTTTCTTGCATGAAAGAATCCATGGTCCCTTAAAAAGGCCAGAGAAAATTCACACATTTAGCAATGATGACAAATAATTGAAAGCCAGCAATTTAGCCATTCTGATTCTTATTCCTCACCTGGAGGCATGTAGGCTGTAGCTTTAACCCTTATTTAGCTAAATATCTTAGGCTATCCTTACAAAAATGTATGTTTGCAGTAACTCGACCAACTCACAAAATTTGCCCCTACTCAAATTTTTTTTCATGATCTGGATAAAAAAAATTTTTTTTGGTCTCAGAAAATTATGCCTTGTGCTTTGTTTTCGTTCTTTTAAAGGTTAATAGAAGAAATAAAATGTAGTTCTTATTAAATTAGAATTCAATGATCCATTTATTAATTGTTACCAGATTATCAAAGCATATATTGTCTTCCAAGTACAGTTCAATAAAAGAAAAACTAGAAGTGTGTCATCATGCCACGGATGCCCCCGCATGCAGCCAAAATTTCAGATGTTATAATATTTAGTTCCAAATTTGTTTGCACAAATTATTGTTTTCATTTTAAGTTCAAAGCCCTTAAAACTTTTCAATGTTAACACAAACCATTTCCATACAATGTTCAAGGCACTGAAATTATTCAGTCTCAACCTTTTGAAAATAGCATATTTCATATTTGTAGCCAAAATAATGGCTACATACATTTCCACAAAAGTATGAGTGCTGAAAGTTCAAAATTATTCCAACATTCAAGAAAGATAAGTTTGTCCAATATCATTGAACCACGACCAAATTCAAACTTAAACTGCTTATTCCTAAGATGTATCTATATTATTTTCAAAGTGAAAGGGACATAACTCTGCCAAAAAAATCATCGAACCATGACCAAATTCCAACTTGACCTGCCCATTCCTTTGACATATCCATATGTCAAATTTGAGTTGAATATGTAACACTGTTGGGTAGATAATGAACAGAAACTGTAAATTTCATATTAATTTCAAAGTGAAAGGGGCATTACTCTGCCAAAAATCATTGAACAATGAACAAATTCAAACTGGGCCTGGGCATTCCAAAAACATATCCATCTGTCAAATTTGAGTTGAATGTGTTGTACTGTTGGGGAGATAATAAACAGAAACTGAAAATTTCATATTATTTTCAAAGTAAAAGGGGCATAATCTGCCAAAAATCATCGAACCATGACCAAATTTGAACTTGACCTGTATTTTCTGATGACATATCCATATGTCAAATTTGAGTTGAATGTGTTGTACCATTGGGGAGATAATGAACAGAAACTGAAAATTTCAGATTATTTTCAAAGTAAAAGGGGCATAATCTGCCAAAAATCATCGAACCATGACCAAATTCGAACTTGACCTGTATTTTCTGATGACATATCCATATGTCAAATTTGAGTTGAATGTGTTGCCCTTGGGCAGATAATGAATGAAACTGAAAATTTCATATTATTTTCAAAGTAAAAGGGGCATAACTCTGCAAAAAATCATCGAACCATGACCAAATTCGAACTTGACCTGTATTTTCTCATGACATATCCATATGTCAAATTTGATTTGAATATGTGCAACCGTTACTAAGATAATGAACGGAAACTGATGATGACGGAATGATGGAATGACGGAACAGGATAACACTATATGCCCCGGCCATTACATGGCGGGGGCATAAAAAAACAACCTACCTACCCACCTTGAAAATTCTGGGTTGGGTTACTGCAAACAAATATTTTTTTAAGGATGGCCTTAGTCATTCTTACATGGACTTGTCCATCTTTTAGACTGGACAAAACCATTGATTAACCAATGGAAAATTTTGATACAAGTACTGATTAAATAGCAGACAGTTCAGACAATGAATGGTTCCAGGCTGTCAGCAGACTTAGGGTAAAAAATCCATAAAAGACCATAATACTGCCAAAAATGGTTCAAATGAGAAATTCCAATAATATCTGCCAAGGCACTTGACTAAACTTATTCTATGAATGTTTAGTTGAAATCCCTCGTGATATGTAGCAAGTTACACTCACATGAAATTGTTTATGCCCAAGTGTCCATAGCGAGATAATTCTGCTAAAAATTTAGACTAAAATATAAACAAAGGAAGACAACGATTAATTTTTTTAATGATACTGAAATTTAAACAATGGGAGATAGGAACTGAACAATTTTACCTCTTCTGTTCCCTGTATTTGTGACTTCATGAAGGTAATTCATGTAAATTCTTCACATGGTAAGTGTCATATTCGCCCAGTCTACATTCTAAACTTCCATTTTGTTCCTGAAATTATAAAACAATTAACTGTTAAAAGTTGGGTAATTTCTTCATATATATTCCAACATCTTATAATCTATAGAAACATGATTTTTTTTACTAGTTGTGAGTATAAAGATAATATTAGTGACACTATGCACATGGAAATAAGAATAATATCATAACAGGGCCGGCAAAATCTCAGAAAATTGTACTTGTCCACGGACAAGTAACCTAAGAAATTTACTTGTCCGTACTCAATGTTCACTTGTCCGTATTTATATTTAATATTTACTGCAAATGTCAATAAAGAAGAGCAATATGTGACAAGCTCAGCGATTTTTGGCCCAAATGGGGTATCTGGGCGAAAATGAGTTTTGACCAGTTTCAGGTAGAACAGTATCTGCTTAATTGCTGGAGACCAATATTTTTTGAAAATTTCTGTTATTCAAGGAAATATTGTGATTTTCCTAACATCACCATAACAACGAAATATGTAGTTTTGAGTTGAAATTTATTGAAACATCTACACAAGTAGATGCCATACTAATGCATGACAAAATAATAAACAATAATAAAATTCATCCCAGTATGAAGTATATGAATAGTTGATATAAGAATTACGAAAAAAATTCCAAACTGGTTGCCATGGCAACAAAAAAACAAACTGTAAAAACATTTAATACAACATTATTGCATGTAACATGAATTTTTTATTCCAAAGTAATAAAAATAATAATAAACATGTTTGCAACTATTAAGGAATTAAAAAAAACAAAACAGTGAAAGCTTATGATTTTATCTACAAATGCTTAATTTAACAAATTCGGAAGTAAATAATGACATTCTAGAATGCCCAGAACGGCAGTCATTTTTCCAATTCTAAGCTATATAGCACTTTAGCATTCACTCAACTACTTAAACATATATCTAACATGTTAGCAATGCAACCTATACACATAATGCAGGACAAAAAATCAGTCATAATATGATCACAAAAATATAAAATATTGGTTGCCATGGTAACAAAAATATCGAAATTTTCTCTAAAACTTCACCATAATGGTATATTGTGTGTGTGTTTCACCCTTAAATCATTCAATCAATGATCAATATTTCCTCAATCCATTGAGAAAATGAAACAAGAGCTGTCCGTAAGACAGCGCGCTCGACTTTTTTAGTGCTTGCCTATAATACAAAACATTGACAGTTAAGGGCCATAATTCAAATAAAATCTTTGACAGAATTACCTTCTCCTGGACATGTTTGGGAATCATGATTGTAAACAAGTATTCCAACTTTCAAATTAATATCTCAAACAGTTCAGTCAAAAAGTGGACTGGTACTAAAAACTTAACCAAGATTCTAAGTCGATAAAAGGCCTTAATTTTTAAAACAAATCCTTGACAGAGTTACCTTCTCTTGCGTACAGATGGGGGTAATGATGTGAAATAGCATTAAAAGTTTCAAAGCAATATCTCAAAGGGTTAAGGCAATAAGTGGATTTTACCCATATTCAATGTATTTTCTAAGTCAAAAAGGGGCATAATTCTGTCAAAAACCTTGACAGAGTTATGTCCTCTTGTCTGTTGATGAAGGTCGTGATGGTAAACAAGTATGGTCAGTTTCAAAGCAATACCTCCAATGGTTTTGAAATAAAGTGAGGTGGTACAAAAAACTTAACCAAGATTCTTAGTCGATAAAAGGCCTTAATTTTTAAAACAAATCCTTGACAGAGTTACCTTCTCTTGCGTACAGATGGGGGTAATGATGTGAAATAGCATTAAAAGTTTCAAAGCAATATCTCAAAGGGTTAAGGCAATAAGTGGATTTTACCCATATTCAATGTATTTTCTAAGTCAAAAAGGGGCATAATTCTGTCAAAAACCTTGACAGAGTTATGTCCTCTTGTCTGTTGATGAAGGTCGTGATGGTAAACAAGTATGGTCAGTTTCAAAGCAATACCTCCAATGGTTTTGAAATAAAGTGAGGTGGTACAAAAAACTTAACCAAGCTCAATACACTTTCTAAGTCAAAAAAGGGCCATAATTCTGTCAAAAACCTTGACAGAGTTATGTACTCTTGTCTGTAGATGGAGGTTATGATGGTGAACAAGTATGGTAAGTTTCAAAGCCATACTTGTAATACTTCTGAAATAAAGTGGGGTGGTACGAAAAACTTAACCAAGGTGTGACGCCAACGCTAACGCCGACGCCGACGCCGGGGCGAGTAGGATAGCTCCCCTTTTCATAGAAAAGTCGAGCTAAAAAGTAATGCTCAACCTTGCTTTTTTACCTACAGATGCCAAAATTAACATCTTCCAAAGTAAATAATGCCATTCTAGAAAGCACAGAAATTCAGTCATTTTTCCAATTCTAAGCTATATAGCATTTTAGCATTCACTCAACTCCTAAAACATATATCTAACATGTTAGCAATGCAACCTATACACATAATGCAAGACAAAAATTCAGTCATAATATGATCACAAAAATATAAAATATTGGTTGCCATGGTAACAAAAATATCGAAATTTTCTCTAAAACTTCACCATAATGGTATTTTGTGTGTCCGTTTCACCCTTAAATCATTAAATCAATGATCAATATTTCCTCAGTCCATTGAGAAAATGAAAAAGTAATGCTCAACCTTGCTTTTTTACCTACAGATGCCAAAATTAACATCTTCCAAAGTAAATAATGCCATTCTAGAAAGCACAGAAATTCAGTCATTTTTCCAATTCTAAGCTATATAGCATTTTAGCATTCACTCAACTCCTAAAACATATATCTAACATGTTAGCAATGCAACCTATACACATAATGCAAGACAAAAATTTAGTCATAATATGATCACAAAAATGTAAAATATTGGTTGCCATGGTAACAAAAATAACGAAATTTTCTCTAAAACTTCACCATACTGGTATTTTGTGTGTGTGTTTCACCCTTAAATCATTAAATCAATGATCAATATTTCCTCAGTCCATTGAGAAAATGAAAAAAGTAATGCTCAACCTTGCTTTTTTACCTACAAAGGTTCCAAATTGAAATTATTCTCTCAGTCCAATAAAAAATTGATGAAAAGGAATAGCATGACTTCGCTTTTAAAATTTACACTCATTCCATATCCTTTTGTTAAACATGTGATAAACTTCCTATCATGCACAGGACTGGAAGTAAAGCCCTGCCAAACTATGTTTTCCATACAGTTTTGTAAAATTATATTAATGTTCATTGTTCATGAAATTATTGCATCTTCTCACTTCTCAGTGTTATATAAATACAGGATATTCAAGTTTCTTCTATAAATACAGGATTCATTTTCATTGACTGGTATGAAAATAAATATTTCACGAGTGGCAGATGAGAGATAAATAACATACTCGTAAAAAATAAACAAAGATCCTCTACTTCTCAAACTTTACTTTTTTGCACGGCCTTGCCACATTTGGCAGAGGACATGCAAACTCACTATTGCGACACAGTGGGCTAATTTCTTCATACAGGTACCACTGTCGTGCTGGATCTAAACCAAGTATGTCTATTGTTTCGGGAAGACCAATAACATCACAGTTTCTCTTTAACAAATTCACCTCCACTTCAGGATCGTTGGCATATTGTCTTACAAAGACAACACCTGGTCTTTCAGAGGTCATCCTAAAAGACACAATCAATATCTGAATAAATTCTTTAATTTCTAAAAAAAATGTACAAAATAATTATGTTGATGAAATAGATTTAAGTAGTCATGTAACTAAAGGTTATTTCATTTTCCACTTCAAATACTTTATGGTCAAGTTATCTTAATAAGTTAATAATATACAAATTTGAAAGAACTGTGATAAATACAGTTTGCTTCAATATTGTGGACTATTATAATATACGGTATGACGGGTATGTGCAGCTTAATAAACCCATTATTGATAAAGCTTCTTTGTAATTTTGGTATTACAGAAAATACATTTCTACTGTCAAAAATTAATCTAACAAATACGGGTCGCAACATGTAAGCTTAACCGGTTAACAGCTGTAAATAAAAACAATTCAAACCTGAAATGATGATATTTCTTTAAAGCTGGCACAGGTTTAAATATTTTTCTTAAGTATGTAGACCAGTCTGAAAAGACCACGGGCTTATCTGGATCATCAACTAACTGTGGTATGTTGTAACCTTTCCTTGAGGACTCCTGAACAGTTTTTGCTATATCATCCATGCTTTCAACATCACTATGTCTCCATCTAACCTTTTGAGGAAAAGAAAATCTTAAAGAAACAAGATCATATCCATTTTTGACATTCTTATTTCTATATACTGTGAAAATCAATAGCACATTTAAAATACAGCAAGAATTATAACAAAGGATTGCATTAAAGTTCTTAAAAGACATTTTTTTAAATTGATGTTTTAAAGTTATCAGGTGATTTAATTAGAACAGATACTTATCTTTTAGAAATGATTTTAACAAGTGTTGTGTAATCCAGGATTTTTTTCCTTGGATTTTGGGAACACACGACCCATACCCATGGAATTGGGAACTTCAGCAATGTTTTGTTAAAAATTGGAGAAAAGTGCATGACTTAAATTTTGCATGCAAAATTACTGTATAGGATGGCATCTTCTAACATTTAAGCACCACAACAGTAAAGAAGCATTTATTTAAAGATTTTAGCAGTTGTTAATCAATAGTTTTATATTGTAACTTTCAATTGGGAAATCTTTCATGTTGACTGGGAAAATAATATACTATTTCCAATTGGGAATATGACATATCAGCTATAAAATAAGCCAAAAATTCCTGGTTGTGCAAAACATGTAACTTTAAGAAATATTTGAGATACATATAATTAATTACCTTCCACAATCCAAAATGCCAGTCTGGACTAAATTTAGTATGTCCAGCTTCCATCATAGAAAATTCAATTTCGTCATGCAGACCCCTCATCACACGCCATAATCCATACCTAAATATGTTACAATATTTAAATTTTTAATTACATATTTATCTATTTAAGTAAAAGAAACAAAACAAAACAAACTCTTTACAGTCATTCATTTAGCAATGAATTTGTAGTAGAAGTCTTAACCTTTTATCATTTTATTCATATATAAAAAATGGACTGGTCTGTAATATGAGAAACAGTCAGATGTAACATGGACAAAATAATAGTGTAGGGAACACAACCTATTTACCCAAGTATATTTTATTTTTCAAAATCAAATAGCTGATTAACTTCTCCTTAGTTGTATTTATTATGATAAAATCAATGAATACTTACCCAATAACAGTGTTGTTTTTATTTTGACCAGAACAGTTGTCCATACTCAAAGATACTCTTTTTTCACCATAAGCATGAAATTGGAAATGGTGATGCAACATTGATGTTACACTATTTTCACCTTTTCCAACACAAGCATATTTTTCATCTATTAAGTAAAAGATCTGTGTTCCTGAAAATATACATACACATGTAATTATGAATATTGTTTTTAATAGCTGAACATTATTTTCAATAAATTAAAAAAAAACAATTTCTATTTTCAAATATAATAAATAATACATCTTAAATTAAGCTTTAAAATGACAAAGTAATAATTAATTATATGCATCATTTTGTGTAGTAGTAATATGATTTTAAGACAATTTTCTATTAAATGAAATCCACAACATTATTTTAAACTAAACGTATATTCAACTGTAATAATATTAATAACTGTAATTTGATGTTAATTTCACATTTTAGAAATAAAATATTGCACTGAGGGCTTAATAGCTAAATACTGCTTACAAATATGTAGGGGAGTCATTTACCCTTTTTGTTGTTACCTTTTGGGTCATTGTTTAAAGAAGATACATATGCATTTATGTATAATATATTTAATAAATTACCTGGTGCTTCACAACTAATACCAAAGCACTGGCATTTCCTTGGGGTCTTGAAAAATATGGGTCCAACCTGTTGTGAGTAATGGGGGTACAACACTTGCTGGGCATAATCAAAACTGTAATGTAACTGTGTATCTACACTACATGGTGGTTGACCTAAAATTATAACACAAATATTATACCTTTTTATTAACGATAAATAAAATAATAATGATCATAACATTCTGCTGCATTATGCCATGTAATTTATGTATCAGTACTGGGCTGGTACTTTGAAATGTAACATGAAAATTAGTGAAAAAGAATCCCTTAAGACATCCAAAACAACAATGTTGAAAGTTTGATTGAGCCTGTTCATGGCCTGTACTGGAAAATGAAAGTTAGTGTCCGCGCTCCATAAATTTTTTTTAACGTAAAAAGATATTCTCCCACTTCTTGATGTCAAATATTTAGTATAAAGCAGCTTTCGTACAAAAGATAGTTTTTATAAATCAGCATTGATTTTAATATCCAAATCCATAATTGAGCCGCGTCATGACAAAACCAACATAATGGGTTTGCGACCAGCATGGATCCAGACCAGCCTGAGCATCCGCGCAGTCTGATCAGGATCCATACTGTTCGCTTACAAACCCTATAACAAGTAGAGAAATTGATAGCAAACAGCATGGATCCTGATCAGACTGCGCGGATGCGCAGGCTGGTCTGGATCCATGCTGGTCGCGAACCCATTATGTTGGCTTTGTCGTGACACGGCTCAATATGTACTATATTGCCTGGATTAATATAGGAAAAAAAACATTATTTTATAATGGGTACCTCTTTCTTTTGTATTAAGCTGTAGGAAATTTATCTTAGAAATTTCACATATGTTTCTGTAATAGTCTCTCTGTGTTTTCACATTTTTCACATGTTCATAATAACAAGAAAGGAGCATTTCCTTCTCCTCTTCTGAGAGATTTCCACCATGTGAAATTTTATACACATGTTTCTGGCATTTCAGACACAAATCAGTGGAGGGTTTCATAATCATTATATTTGGACACTGTTCCAACCAGATTCTCTTAAAAGTGGACAAACTGATTTTTCTGTAAGAAAACCTTTCATTGTCAGAGTCAAATGCGGTACAGTACAACTGGTATATATCAGCTTTAGTTTTGTCACTTGGCAGAAGCACATTTTTTTCACTTCTGTAATTTGGCAATCTACCTGGTAAAGGTAGTCCATATTGACTTCCATATGTGACAATAAAATGCTTTACAGCTTGAGTTTGTTCTAAGGTAACCGCATTATGTGGTACCATGCCTTTATTGCCATGTGTTCTTGGTACAAGAAAGTCGGTATCCAATGATTTCGCAATAGAGTCAATAGTTTTTCTGTGCAAACCATGGACAAAAGCAAAAAAAGTGCGACAAACAGCAAACCCTGCAAAAAAATAAGTTTGATGTGGCCGCTGCCTTACATTTCCAGAAGATTTTGAATCTGGGGTTTTTCTATGATGAAATAACTGAACTTTAATTAAAAGGTCTAGTTCCTCTTTAGACTTTTCAAGGCATGACAATCTATAATTAATTACTTTCTCCCATTCAATTGCTTCTGAACAAGGTTTCCCATTAAAAAGTCTTGTACAGCCACAAGTATTTGATTTAAAATTTTCCTGTAATACATATTCTCTATCACAAGGTCTTGAAGGTGTACTATTATGAATTGGCTCTATTTCAGGTTGTTGGTTTACATTTTCATCATTAGAGCAATCTAAATGTATATTCTCATCATCATTATCATCATCAAAATTATCATCACTTTCTTCTGAGAAATAAACATCGTTAGGGCTGCTGTCATTCAATTCGGAATTCCCAAAATATAACTGATGAACGATTTCTAATTCATCAACAAATTCCTGATTTAAAAAACTAGTTTCCTCATATGGTATGGTACTAGCGGTACTAGTTATTGAGCATTGGCTTGCCATATTTAAAAGAAATTCATTTTGACAGTAATGAAATGTCACAAATATATATATCTATATTTAGCTCCATGGAAATGTTTATAAACAAATTTGAAGGTCAGTAGGTCGTTCCACCATTTTGTTTACATCACTACTTCCGGCATATAGTACTCCCAATTAACACCAAAATAAGATAATTTACATCACTAACAGTAATGATTATTCACACAGATAGTATTGTTAAAAAAAGTTGAACTTACCTTGATATTTATCTAAGCCTCAAAATAATCCAAATGTTTATATAAACACAATATATAGCGGACAACTTTTACACACTTCGCTTGTGTACTGTGTATACATACTACGCCTCGCTAGACAGTCCACCTACCGGCTGCATATAAATTTATTCTAAATATAGAAACGGGGAAACCTAAAAATCATGCGTAAAATTGATAAGGGTTGTCAAAAAAGTAGTTAAAGTGACATATTTGCTGACTCCTCTCGCTGACAAATTCTATAATTACGCGTGTTTTAAAGGAAAGTATGAAAAATTAACACATGTAAACTCGCGTGACTTTGCAAGCGTTTTTCTCACAATGATGAAAAACTCAATTGGGCCAAAAATCGCTGAGCGCGTCACATATGATTATGAACTTTCTTTCAATTTTATTAAACATTCTATGCCATATGTTTAACAATATAATATATTATGATTATAATATAATATATTTATAAAATGTTAACGGCAGTAGATTAAAGTAGGACTAGGCCATCCTTAAAAAAATGTTTGTTTGCAGTAACGCGACTGACTCACAAAATTTGACCCTACTCAAAAGATTTTTTCATGGTCTGGATAAAAATTTATTTTTTTTTTATCAGAAAATTATGCCTTGTGCTTTGTTTTTGTTCTTTTAAAGGTTAATAGAAGAAAAAAAATGTAGGTATTATTTAATTAGAATTCAGTTATCAATTTATTAATTGTTACCAGATTATCAAAGCATATATTGTCCAGCATTTTGAAATTCCATGTTTATTTGGGAGTACAGTTCAAAAAAAAAAAAAAAAAAAAAAATCAACCTACCTACCCACCTTGAAAATTCTGGGTCGGGTTACTGCAAACAAACATTTTTTTAAGGATGGCCCTACAGTGATGGACAAATTGTGTATATTTTACTGGAAGGAGCATTGGTCTTTTGCCAGCACTTTTTCAGTTTTCCTTGCACCCAAATTGCTTTAAAGTCTTGTCTTCATTTTTTTGCACTCTGGTACCATTTCTTATTTATTCACTCCTTATTATATTCATCTATATAATATTCATTTGAATCCTGTTAAAAAATCATATGTACTCTTGAGTTAGATTTGTCAAATTGATGACATCTGGCTTTTTTTAACGATACAATTATGATTGCCACAGAATGTAATATCATATACGTATATACGCTTGGTTGCAGCAGATGAATTGTGAAAATTTTGACATCATTACCATCGGCGACGATGAAACTGACATGTATACATTAACACCAGTATTAGACATTCAAAAACAAAGGCATTTTCACAAGAAATCTTTACATAAAATAAATTATAAAATGACTTTGTCCACATAAATTCAAGCAGTCAAACTGCCGATATGAGCGTAAATATTCCCGAATGACCTGGAAAAGCTACATTTTCATAAATAACACAGCGGTATTTCAAAGACAATTGTTGCGGGATTGATGCTGTGTCTGCTATCTAAACAATAAATGCGCTTGAAAAGACTACAGCTTCCAATTCAATTTTATGGCAGAACCCTGTTGCTACTGAAAATATTTTATTGCAGAGGCTAAGTCGGCAGACATAAACCAAAACAAACATGTACCCTCAATAATTAGTTAATTGCCGCGCGCATGCAGCAACTGCATGACGTAAGGAAAACCCCAAGCCTGGTTGGTCGCTATTTATGTAAACACTTAAAATAGTAACACCCTAATATGCACGGAATGCCCTCATGAATGACACCACACTTCACACGCTAGTTTTCGTATTAAATGTGTGATTTTCCTTCTGACTTAGATCTATTAGAAAAAGAACTAGATTTTTTTCTTCAGAATTCCGCTTTTAGTCGCCAAAATTTAATTGTCCACGGAAAAGTAAACTGCAGAATTTTACTTGCCCGGACCTACAATTTTACGACTTGGGCAACTCGGACAATTGATTTTGCCGGCCCTGCATAATATTAAATAAGAACTGATGCAGATGTTTCAACTTTTGTGTTGGGTTTTACATCAAACCAACACAGTATAGGTCATATGGTGACTTTCCAGCTTTACTGGTGGAGGAAGACCTCCGGTGTTCCTCTGTGCATTACGACAGACACAAACAAGCACTCGAGTAGAACCATCAACATTCAGAAAGCTAGCTGGATAGCTTTCACACAAAAAAGTATCCAAAGACACTTGCATGACTCAAATCTACAGGGCGCGACTCAAACCTACAGCAGAGGCAAGTGGTTTGAAGTCAACGACCTTTAACCACTAGGATGTTTTAACATTATCAGTAACTTTGTTTTCACCTGTAGCTGTTTAATTAGCTCCAGCAGGGCATCCTGTGCTTGTTGAGCGACCTTCTCTGGGAATTCTTCCTCTAAAATACCCTCATCTTTAACTTGGAATGAAGGCTGTGGCTCCTCAAAAGGTATAGACATATCTAGGTCTGAGGTGTCTACTGTTCTGTTACGTAGTTAGTAACGTTCTTTTTTAAGTGTTGTAATAGTCTGAAAATATAACAGATGCTATCATTAGGGAATATGTTATTTGTCAAAGACCCAATATGCCCAAAAATGCTTTCGCTTTTATTTCTTAAAAGCTATTTATTTTTGGTGTCCAGTCATAGTTTCCAAAAGGTTAATAATTAGCAATTTACCAGAACAATGTTTTGCATCTGATGAAGTAAGTAAGATTAACAGCAAAAATATTGAGAGGAAAATACTTGAAGAACCAGAGCCATGTCAACATCGCCATCCTCTGGCGAAAGTGTTTGCTCATTGGAAGAATGTATACATGTATGTAGTAGAGCAGAATAATTCAATTTTAAGAGGTCTTTTGGTAATGAAAACTGATGGCTGAAGTGATTACAGATTTGAAACCTATGTAAAATACTGATGGCTGAAAATAACAAGGGCAATAACTGAAAAATAATGCAGGGTAGGTTATCATTCTTGTGTGCTGCACCCCTCAGTAAAATCTATCCACCTATGAAGTTTCAAGTTGATACCACAAATACTTTTTGAGATAAGCTCCAGACAAAATAGTATGAAATAGAACAAAGGGCAATAACTCAGAAATTATATAGCGAGAGTTATCATTCTTGCACGCAGGATTCCTCCTCAATAAGATCCATCCACCTATGACATTTCATGTTGACATCTCAAACACTTTTGAGTTATGCTCCACTCAGGTGAAAAATTAAGTATGAAAAATAACAAAGGACAATAACTCAAAACTTATGAGAGGTAGAGTTATCGTTCTTGTGCACTGCACACCTCCTGAGTGAGATCTTTGCACCTATGAAGTTTCATGTTGATATCTCAAAAGGCTTTTGGAGTTATGCTCTGGACAAAAATTAATTTTGAAAAATAACAAAGGGCAATAACTCAAAAATTATGCAGGGTAGTTATTATTCTTGTGCACTGCACTCCTCCTCAATGATGTCTATCCACCTATGAAGTTTCAAGTTGATACCTCAAATACTTTTTGAGATATGCTCTGGACAAAAATGTCGGACGGAGACTATTTCTATATCCCCGCCGCCTTTTCAGCCGGGGATAATAAACCACTAAATTTCTTTAACATCAGTGAAGAACTTAACAGTTATTTAAGAATCAATATTTTGACATCATTTTCGTTACCAAAGTAATGACATAAATACTCATGACTAACTTTACATAAATGTTATATGACATTATCAAGCACCCATGCAGAAACTAGAAAATTAAGCCTGATTTGCAAGAATCCAGACTGTATTTACGCCGAAAATTAATATCTGGTAAAAATGTGATCCCTTGGAAGCATTAAAAACAGCAAAATAACATGAACATTGCAAACTCAGTTTGAGTCTGTACATGAGGGATAATGAGAAAGTGACACATCCCTCAAGCACCCTAGCAACGGCTTGAGCAGTACTCAATTCTCCACACTAAAAAAAAGTGCTGGACTCAATGATCCCAAAGTACCAGAAAATACAGGAGTTACCTCCCTTCTGTACATTTCTCACTTCCTGCTACTTTCTGTTTCAACATACAGCGTTGTTGACTGCTGTATTTTAGTTTTTAATCCATTGAAAGTTAAACAGAAACATATTGTATTTTTATGAAATCAAAACATCACCTTTTTCTTAGATATTAAATATTAACATGGGAGCATGTCAATATATAGTGGAACCCCATTGTATCGTGCTATTCATTGTATCGATTTATCTACAAATCTTTAGATTTTATGCAAAATACGTCACCTACTGATTGTTAACATTTACAACAGTGTCACAAAAATCTTTCCCATTTATTTTTGTGCAGTAAAATGACCAAAAACATGTTTCCAGTACCGTAAGACGTTGTAGATAATAAATAGACTTATAAATAATGTGTTCTTATTAAAAGTACATTTGCTGCCTGTTAAAAGTTCCTAAATTTATGCCGACATGCCGACATTATAAAACAGACATCTTTGATTCTAATTGACTGAAATATCTAACATAAAGATGGTTAAGGCTTCCCAAACTTTGGCTGAGTGATTCTCACAATGCATCGATATAATGGCGTGACCTAATTAATCAACCACTTTGACATGTCTGTAAATATCCGTATATTCCAAAGCTAAAAACTATTTAGGCAATAGAAAATAAATTCCCAGATTCTCATCCCCGCCCGCCCGGCAAAAATTGCTCCGCCCGAACGATTTTTATTTTCAAAAAAAAAAAAAAAAAAAAAGAAGAAGAAGAAAGAAAAAGAAAGAAAGAAAAAGAATTACGTAATTATATAAGTGTATCATCATCTGTGCGGCCGAAAATCCTTCAGTCTCGGTCTCGGTCCTGGCTGAATCATGCGGGCCGAGATAAAATTTCTTACCGTGAAAAATCCTCGGGTCCAAATAAAATTTCTAAGAGATAAAATAACCTGTTTTGATAGGTAAAATGAAACGTGTTAAAGAACTTTAACTATATTGAAGTTGAACCACAAAAGACTAATTTTGGACAAGTCAAATATTCAAATAAACAGCAGTTCATAAACAGCATCGGTAAATTTTGCCGTAAATTACAAATTTTGAAATTTTGTTTTACAATGCCTTTTAAAATAGCAGCTGAATAATAGTCTAAAGATACTCATAAAATAATTAATCTGATAAAATCAAAATCAAAGACAACTAGAATTGTGAATGGTTATGCAGAAAACAGACATTTTTTTCGTTTGTCACATATTTTCGCGATGCCGATTTTTATAACAAAAAAAGAAGTCACCAAAAGGAAGCCTTGTATTGATAAAAATTGTCCAATAAGACTTTAAATATATTTTATTAATTAAATTAATTTACTGTATTGTTTACATTAGTTTAGAATGAGACATTTGCCAGTTTGTGTTGTATGTATGTATATTTGCTTAAGGGAGGGTGTGTGTGGAATCACAGATATGTTATACAAGCTCCATGATGGAATTAATCAAGAAGAAACAGCAGAATTGGGAGTCTCAGGATTTTGAAAATCCTAGTGAGGACCCTGATTATTTCTACCGGCCACTTTTGTTTTGTTTCTTCATTGAAAGCCACACTAAGAAAAGCTGTCATTTTGACATTCACCCAGGTTGTTATCATATAATACTTGAAATGTCACGGCCTGAAATAATCATCTGAACCAAATATAAACAAACGGGTGCCGGTCCTTGTGGCCTTAAAAATGAATTTTGCATAGAATCTTCATGGTCAGCGTGCTGCTTGATTTTGTATGTAATCTTTATAATATCTAGTCATGGTATGAAAGTGAAATTTGAATATAATAGGTAAATCTCTGTACTTTCTTTGCCAAATTTTCAATAGCTTAGATGTTATTTTTGCAATGTAATATATAAATAGGATTGTCTTTTTGTGTAGCTTCATTGGTTGATTAAATAATTTACTCATGTAAAAGCACTATTGATCAGCATAGGCATAGTACATCTTTATTCAACTCCTTTATAAAATTAATATGTCTTATTTTGTAACAATACATTTAGATCTATATATTTATTTTGTCCAAACATGTAAATAATATGAAAGGTTCAATAAAACAGCTAGATCATAATACAGTCAAGATTTATTATCATGTTGCTTCTATTCTCAATCTGAATCTATATATCTTACATACACATAATATTAGAACCTATTATATAGAACAAAGTTCCAAATATTGGCCTCCTTGTGGGTAATTCCAGACCGAGAATGGAAAATAAAAAATAAAAATTAAAATCCACCCACCCGCCCCATTTTTTCCCAAGATTTGGATGAGAATCTAGTTATTTTTTTTCTATTGCCTTATCAGTGATGTTTGCCATGTAAATATTATGGCAAAAGGATCAAAATAAATGACAAAAAAATAAATATTCAGGGACATTTGAATCTTTTAAATGCAGTTGTGGTTTATGGGTTAATAGATCGATACAACGGGGTGACTTTTGATCTTTTCTATTCAAACAATATACATGATATACTCAATGATAAACTCGTTGGAACAGTGCCAAAACTATATCTATTATTAGCAACAATACTTCTATTTATAGTAACAAAACACAAAAAAGTATCCCTAAATAACAGTACTTCAGTAGTTAGAATTTGATATTTTTTAAGCCTGATGAAGAGTATTGTATTACTCGAAACTAGTAGCCAATAAAAACTTTTTAAAAATGACCTGGTGTTGTACGTGTGTTCCTCACCTACTTTATTCATTATTTTATACTTATTGAGGAACTAGTATCCCGTTGGGATCCGTCCGCACCAGGCATCCAGCCCTGTCAAACGACATCGGTGTGGGTAGGGAGACAGACGCACACCTTCTACCACGTATCCAGTCTTTGGATCCACCGAAACAAGCACCAGCTGAGCCCTTGGTGAGGGACACTGCTATCAAACTTCAACACAAATGTCATTTTATCATAACCCGCTTGATTTTGAATTGGAAAAAAGTGCTGTTACACCGTCTGATTCCCAAGCAACGCTCACTTCCGGTACTGACGAAATAAATCCGAAGAAACGAAAAATAGCCGAGCCAGAACCCCCCAGACGTATCGAGGAAACTAAAGTATCCAGGTTTAAAGTTTTAAAGAAACTTAATATTCATCAGAAATTAAGAGAGGCCCTTCATAATCGAAGAAAAGACGAACCTAAATCATGGATCATTCTCCGACTTATGATTTTTATACTTAAGGAAACATGTTTTCAGTTCAATGGAAAAATTTTATGACCAGATATCAGGAACAACTATGCGAACAAAATGCGCCCCTAGTTACGCAATAATATTCATGGCACATCTTGACTCGAGATTTCTACGAACACAAGTATTAAAACAGAGTTATATAGATGACATATTTATGATTTGGCCGCACAGCAGACAGGAATTGTATTCCTTCATGGCCTGTTTAAACCAATTTCATGAGTCAATTAAGTTTACTTATGATATCAATCCCAAGGAAGCTAATTTCTTAGACACTCAAATTAGTAAGGACAACACAGGTATTCTTCAAACTATAAATTTTAAGGAACCCTCCTCACCGTCTAGTACAGAAACGGTTTGCCAAGATGAGCATGGTATGTTTAGTGAAACAAACGAACTCATTATAAACATTGGACAGATTAATGGATTATTAAACAAAGCATAATTAACTTTTGATCTTTTCTATTCAAACAATATACATGATATACTCAATGATAAACTCGTTGGAACAGTGCCAAAACTATATCTATTATTAGCAACAATACTTCTATTTATAGTAACAAAACACAAAAAAGTATCCCTAAATAACAGTACTTCAGTAGTTAGAATTTGATATTTTTTAAGCCTGATGAAGAGTATTGTATTACTCGAAACTAGTAGCCAATAAAAACTTTTTAAAAATGACCTGGTGTTGTACGTGTGTTCCTCACCTACTTTATTCATTATTTTTCATATTAATAATAATTATAGCATAAAATCGGCTATTTTTCCCTCTTTTGCCCATGTTATAACGGGGCCAAAACCATGCGTTAACATAGTCACGCGCTCTTTGTTATAGCACGGTTTTACATATGCGCAATACATACAGGGCCCAGAAAACAAACAAAAAAATGACGATTTGGCCAGAGTCATGCGCTCTTGTTAAATTGGAATTATTAATTCGAGGGCCTCAGTCGCATAACGGCGAGCAGCTTTCAAGTATTTATGCAGGCAATACGGCGTAAAGACATCGCCTCTTATCTTGGTTGTCGCCCTTTCTTAGAAATGGACAGTTGTCATTGTAAACAACTAGAACCTGTCATTCATGCAGTTTAATCCCCTGATTAACTTACAAAAATGGAAAACACAAAATGAATATAAAAACTAGAAATGTGTCCATAGGACACGGGTGCCCCCACCGCGCCACTGTTCTGTCAATCTTTTTACTAAGTCAAGGGAAATAACTCTACAAATACTAATCCACAAGCGAAACCCCAGGTGCAAATCTAAATATGCTGAGCAACCTGCCCATAAGGTTTAATGACTATGTCAAATCCTTTTTGAGTATTGCAAAAAATTTCTAAGTGAAGGGCAATAACTCTAAAAATACTAAATAAATCCAGACGAAAATACCTGGTGCACAACTGCACATGCTGATCAATATTCCTGTAAAGTTACATGACTCTAGGTCAAATACTTTTTGAGTTACGTGCGACACATGTTGAAAATTGCAAAATTTTACTAAGTCAAGGGCAATAACTCCAAAAATACTAAAAATATCCACATGAAAATACCAAGGTGCACAACTGCACATGCTGATCAACATTCCTGTTAAGTTTCATGACTCTAGGTTAAATACTTTTTGAGTTACGTGCGACACAAGTTAAAAATTGCAAAATTTTACTAAGTCAAGGGCAATAACTCTGAAAATACTAAAAATATCCAGACGAAAATACCCAGGTGCACAACTACACATGCTGATCAACATTCCTGTAAAGTTTCATGACTCTAGGTCAAATACTTTTTGAGTTACGTGCGACACAAAAGTGAACGGACGGACGGAAGGACGGACGGACAGACGGACAAGGGTAAATCTAAATGCCCGCCACTAACGTGGGGGCACAAAAACATAGTATTATTGACGTTTATATTGATAAATGTTCTTTATGTTTCTTTGAGAGAATAATGTTTTATGCCTGATTTTTTTTAAACTCGTGCTTAAAAAAATGATTCTGAAATTGAATCTGATGTCACTGATCGTTTTCCTACCGCCAATCTGTAATCATTCTAGGAATTTCTGAGGCGCCTGTTTTGTCTTGGGTAGAGTAATGTTATGTTTTTCTTGAGTAAATATATCTCCAGAGTTAAACTTTGTTAAATCAATTAAAATTCGAAATTTCCGTTCGGTTCTCAAGTTGTTGGCCCCGGAAATATAAAACGCATACGTAAAACATGTAGAGCTGGATAAATACCTTTCAAGCACAAGGATTTAATGTATGTGTTTTAAATATAATATACAACGTGAATCTGTTTTAAAATTTTATGCTATAATAGTGTCAACGCACGTTTATTTCGTGTTATAACGTCTGCAGAGTCCCGACGAACGGTTGGTGTCCGGGCCCAGTAGGGCGAGGGCTGCAACGGTTCCGTGCGTTAACCCTACAATACACTTACTGTTTCATGAAAACAGGCCTATAGTATAGTCCTAATTATAAGACCTATACTGGTCGGAGAGATAACTCCGACGCATAGATAACCCCGACACTTGATAAATATAATTTTTATAACTTTGTTTTTCAACAAACATGCACATGGTCACCTAGAAGTATAGGAGCAGGACAGAATGTGATGATTTTTTGTTAGTTGGTAAACTTTTTAATATTTTTCAATTAACCGAAACTTTTCGTTGGCAAAAACTGCTTCAAAACGTTCTTTTTACTAAATTACAATGAGGTAGTTAGAAATATATTGACCACAGGCCACTGACTTGGGAAATATTTTTGAAAACTTGATTTTACATCAACAAAAAATAGATATAACATATAAGATGTAAAAATAAATTAATGATGCTGATTTTCCTGTCATTTTTTACTTAAAATTTTAAGTGTCAACTTTATCTACTGTTGAGGCATAAAAAGACCATGTTTTGTATACCCCATTCAGGACCTTAAAGAAGTACCAATTCTCATTTTCATACATAATTTTTGTAGTGTAATGTAAAGTCTTTGAACTGAACTTTATTTAGGTGGTACAATATTTAAAATATACAAGAAGATATTACAAAAAGTATGTGATTTAGTGTCAGAGTTATCTCTCCAACCAGTACGTAACCTATTTCATATTCATCATTCATTAATTTGATATTTTTCATTTTCCATGTTACGTTAGGTCTTAACAGATCTTTGCAAAATTGTGTAGCAAAAATATTGACATTAGACATCTATTAAGATCTTATGAATTTAAACAATTAAAACAGCGTGTATTTACATTAATTTTGACCTATTTATGAACAAAACTAAAAAATAAATACCTTTTAACAAAATAATTGAAATGTCATGATTAAGTCCTCTCATTTAATTAAATTCCTTGTACAGCCAATATACAAATGGCCGCCATACAGTGCGCGAAATCTGATTGGCTAATTCAAATGCAAGCGTTTAAATGAGTCCAGAAGTTTCTAACGGAATATTTTTTCAACAAAATAATTGCCCATGCACCGTCAGTGTGTTTGAATATATTTTTCCGTTCAAAAAATTAAAATCAATCTGTAAAACGTACTTAACCAGTATGGCCAATGAGCGAAATTGACTGGTATTTACATTTTATTTTTTAATTGATAAGTACTGGTTAGCGACCTACAAATCCGGACGTCCACCAATCCGGACACCCGCGTAAACGCTTTATTTTCGCGAAAAATTTGATCAACTGTTGTCGATCACTCAAGCGCTTGATTCTGCAGCAACCAAAATCAACAACTTCAACGATATGTAAGTATAATTGATGAAAATGCAATATTTACGTTTGTCTGCGAGTTCGCTGTGTGCCTACTCGCGGGGGAAGTCAAATATAACGCAATGCGCATGCGCAAATTTTTTGCTGAGGCCCGGACAAGTTTAAAGGGGTCAACTTTAAGAAAATATGAAGCAGACGAACTTTTGCAAAAAGATATATATTAACTATAACTTACTTAGACATACCCTACAACTTAAACGTATCATTTTATGAAAGTGCATAATGTTTTGTGCAAATACATATTATGAAAACAAATTTTAAATAAAACAGGGACGGGTCACGCCAAATTTTTCAATTCAAGGGAGGTAACTCGCACTATTTCTCCCTAATATTTAAAAGAAGGATTGTCTTTCTTTGCAAATATTAAATAACGTTGTGCTGAAGCCGTGCTTTTTGTTTTATTTTGTGTATGTGATTAAAAAATGTAGTTCACAATATAATTTAATTGATGACTCGCTTATAATAATGTTTGTAGATCTAATATTAATTATTTATTGAAATATCTAAATGCCGACTGACCGTGACTACTTAATTTTTTCTCAATCACAGTTCCCAAAATGCAAGCTAGACAATATACCGCAGACAGCCTGCAGAAGGCAATTTCTGCTGTGAAACAAAAGAAACTGAAAACGAGGACAGCAGCAAGAGAATTTGGAGTGCCGAAAAGCACGTTGCACGACAGACTGAAAGTGAATTCATCTCACGTAAACATGAAAAAAATGCCCCGCCTCCTTACTACTGAAGAAGAGAAAGCATTGGTAGCTTTTATCCAGTACATGGCTCATCAGGGGTTTCCCATGACAAGGACGATGGTTAGGTGCTATGTTCGAGAAATCCTCAAACGTAAAGGTAAATTAGAAACCCGATACGATTAACACTTTAACACTCGTAAGAGGGGTTGGCAGTATCCAGAGATAGATAGATTAAGTTACTTTAGACATGTTTATATAAAGACGCCAGTCATCAAACGCTAGTAATGATTTGAAATATCTTTTTAAAATGTTCATATAAAATTTAAATAGTGCATGTGTTGTAGGCTTATATAAATTTAGAAATGTACACACATATATTTGAATTCAATTTTTAGGACGGGAAACAGCCAATGCTGGACAAGGTCCGTCGGATAAATGGTTTAGGGCATTCATGAAGCGTAAACCGATGCTTTCTGAAAGAACGCCTGAAAATCTTGATAAATCAAGAGCACGGATGTCAAGCCAAAAAACCATGGATGGTTGGTTCAGCCTTCTGGAATCAATTCTAGACGAAAATGACTTGAAAAATAAAGAGTCACAGGTATTTTAACTATTCCTAGCTAATTTTCATTTGAATTATTCATCACGATTATTGACATTAAATTATTAACCCGCACTGAAGACAATACATAAATGCTCTATCGTTTGAATGTAATTTCATACATATTCATCTTTCAGATTTTCAATGTTGATGAAACTGGGTGGTCGGGGAAAGAACGGTCGCGGACAAAAGTGCTCGGGCCAAAACAGGGACACGTTTTCGCAAATAAAAACATCAGAAATGACCACGTCACGGCGAATCTCTGTATATGCGGAGATGGAAAAATACTGCCGCCAATGATCATTTATAAAGTAAATATACATTTCTTTTTAGCCACTTATTATTGATATACAGATTTAAATGACTGATTAATGTAAATGAAAATACTAATTCATCATTTATTCTATTTCATTTTTTTTTATTATTTTACAGGAATCCTACCCGCATCGAAATTTCACTGAAGGTATTCCAGACTCGTGGATTTTCGGTACATCTATGTCTGGGTATATGGACGGGGAACTTTTTCTGTCGTGGTTTAAAAGAATTTTTCTCTTGAACTGCGGCAGAGAAAAACCCGTTCTTTTAATACTTGATAATCACGACTCTCATGTGACGCTGCCATTAGTTGAGACAGCTCGTGCAAACAACGTAATATTGGTTGGAATGCCTGCACATACAACGCATATATTGCAACCATTAGATGTGAAGGTTTGATATATATTAAGAATATATTTTTCTTAATAATGCTTTCTCCTTACGTAGTACAAATCACGTAAAGTATTTCAATTTTGCTTCATATTTGAATAAATATACAGTTGTGAAGCGATTTAATGTTAAGCTGTAAATAATAAAAGTTATCATTATTATAATAATTATTTCGCAATAATTATACAGTTTTTGATTGTATTTAATGCTTGGCTGTAAATAATTTAAATAAATAAATAAATAACAGGTTAATGCACCACTGAAGAGGAGATTCAGTTCCCTAGCCACCAACCTGGGCTTTGCTAATCCAAACTTAACGATAAGCAAGGGGAATTTTCCAGTTGTTTTAAGGCATGCACTGGAACAGACTACACCGTCATCTGTAAGAGAAGCGTTCCGGCTCACGGGCATTATCCCATTTGACCCTCAGGCAATCGACAAAAGTCAACTTATACCACCAACTTTTGTGCAAAGAAATGAAGAAAGTAAGTGCTTTTTTCTGACATTTCACTTTTATACAAATGAACTATCCGTGTAGGTAAAATATTCAATACACCCATGTTTCTATTATACTTGAATATAATTATGTTTTAAATATTTGTTGTCATCATAATGTTCGGTTCCTCCGGACTTGTTCATTAATAATATACCGCATGAATATTTTTCAGCCGGAAGAACAGAAAGTACTAATGTGCGAACATGTGAATCGTGTGGCTCCTTCCTAGTTAACCCATTGATAGACCAAGGACTTATTCCTGCATCTATGGCACAAATCTTGATCCCTCCATGTAATGCCCAAATGAAAGTAAATCCTACCAAAAAATCCCGGGTTGTGGCAGAGGGGCGTGTCATTAGCGGTGACGAAATGGAAATACTTAAACAGTTAAAAGTATCTATTCTAAACCATATATTACTAGTAGTTTATTGCATTAAAAATATACATGTATTAACTATAATGACAAAATAGAAATCGATTTGACAGAGATTAAATGTTATGTGAAATATTTTTCACGGCGTTAGTATTACAAAAAATTGATGTTTATAGATATATTATAGATATATTGTTTTAGTAATTAATCAATTGTTTTATATTTATCAGTGTGTATTTTCAAGTAATTATTTTACTTCCATTGTTCTAAAAGCAAAGTTCAATACTTACCACCTTCCTACTTACCTGACTTCTTATATAAAGATACTGACGGAATGGAACAAAGGTCGAGAGCTGTTGGTACTTATAGCATTATAATTTGTTGTGTATTTGACTGCGCGTATCTTTCTGCCATTTTTACAGTGAAACAAACGTTAGAGTAATTTGCTGATCGAAAAATTAATATAAAGGGTATATGGATGTTTCAGGAAAAGGAAGAAAATGCAAGAAAATTGGAGGAGGCAAAAGAAGAAAGGCGTAAGCTAAAGGAATTCAGAAAGGAGCAGAAAGAAAGGGACATTGAAGAAAGGCAACATAAGAAACAGAAAAAGACAGAAGAGAAGGAACGTCGAGAAAGACAGAAGAAAGATGAACAAATTAGGAGAGCTGTGTGTGGACGATTGGCTAATAGAAAATTTACGTGTGGAGTGTGTGGGGAGAGAGGTCGGATGAATGACGAGTTAAATGGTGTGATGTGGTATGGTTGTGATGAGAGTATGTGTGAGAAATGGTATCATGAAGAATGTTTAAGTATGAAAGAGAGAGAATGTTTAAGAGTGAGTATGGAAGAGAAGAGTGACTGGTACTGTGGCAAATGTAAACCCTGGCTGTACCAAGAGGAATAAATGTTTCATTCATGTTAATATGTGTATATATGTGTATAAATGTGATACTTTCATATGTAAAATTGAAATAAATATTATTTGTATTTTTACCAAAGATGAAAGGATATAATATCAAATTACTGATAAAGAACTAGAAATCATGTTAGTTTCCTTTTATTCTAAAACCAGGTGGTAACGAATGTCACGTCTATAATTGACATAAAGATTCGTATAATAAACATAACAATTCAGTCTTCCTTTGGTATTTAAGTTAAAATCAACGCATATGATGATGTTTCAACGTCAGACAGAGAGACATATTACCTGTGAAGTTGCATGAGCTCTTGGTCATTTTGCATATTACCGCTAAGGCTCCCACGTTTACAATTTTTTGTAAACGTTTACACGACTGCTCAGAACCGAAACGATACCGTTTAAACGGTGGTACCTCTATGTACTATATATACACACCATATACTTGAGTCGCCAAATGATGTCTTTCTTTCTATTTTTAATACATGTACAAATAAAGAATGTGCAAGGCTCATCACGATTGAGTCAGCACACATTTTTTGCATTGTAACCCCATTTTTTACCAAAAATGTATTATGTCACGAGCAATTTTGCACCGGAATGCTGTGTGGAGGGTTGTAAACACCCATTTTCCGTTTGTTTACTTTGGAATAAACCACTACAATTGATAAAATCCATAATTACAGGCAATGATTAAGAAAGTTTGTAAGACAATATGGTCATTTCGATTAAACGGTAAACAATATCGTAAACGTTTATGAATGAAAATCGAAACGAATCCGTTTAAACGTGTAATTGTGGGGGCCTTAATTACCGCACACTTAAGTAACGGTACGGTTTATTTTTAATACATGCTTTCTATTTATAGGCGAAAAACATGAACTTGAATAATAAATATTGAGGTAAAATATCTTACTTATTAATGATTGACAGTAAAAAAGTCAAAAAATTATAAATTTGAAGTGTTATGAATGTTTAACAGAGCGTCCGGAAACAAGGTCCTGTTTTAGGCTTAATTTATACAGTTTAATGACCCTACGTTAGGGCCTCAATAACGGGTGTTCTATATTTAGAAAAAAGAAAAACCCATGTCGTAACAGCGGCCTTGAACCTAACTTCCCCAAGGTTGAATATTGAGCGTGTCAGGTAAACAGTTTTCAAAATATTGTGAAAAATGTTATAAAAACGTCCGGTTGTAGGTCGCCAACCAGTACTGTACATTGTTTGAAAGTTTTTGTTAATGATCATGCAATTGAAAGAACAGAAGATAAGCTTTTGAATAAAGCTTGAAAGGCAAGTCAACAGACATTTTTTTAATTTTTTAAAAAGCTACGCGTTTACAAGCAATACTATTAGACGTCAGGCATGACCAACATAAAACTATAACAAGCCTGTAACGTCTTATCTATTGGACTAGTCTATAGTAATAATAGGTATGCAAATTTTTATCAGAAAAATTTCAAACATGTGCTACCACATGGTCAAAATGGGGTTTACAAATTAAATATGAAGTTTCAAAAGGATAAAAAAATTGTCAAAAGTTACTTGACAATTTATTACAAATAAAAAATAACCCGCAAGAAAAACCTTAATTAGTCTCACAGCGCCAACAATTTGTTACAATTTGCACCAAGTAAATAATGGTAATAAATCACTTACCTGATTAACAGAAGTTGAAGGTCTCCACTCCAAGAGAACTGGCGACTGAATAAAAACAAAACATTATGATTGTAATGACAAGAAACAATAATTTACGCAAAAAAATAACTTTTACAACATAGTCCTAGGGAGCAAAAGAAAACGTGTTACCAGTTCGAAGTCCAGGGCAGCGTTTTACTAACGTACTTACGCCTAAGATTTACGTAAGTTTTTACTTACGTATGATTTTTTTACGTAAAGGCGTTTCACTAAAAAAATGCGTAAGTACAAATTTCGTAAGTTTTTACGTAAAGTTACGCTCAAATTTTCCTGACTTAAAATTTACGTAAATATGGCCGACATTTTGTTAGGGAGAACGCGGCGAAGAAGAACGGCGAGAATTTTTAGGGAAAGACGTAATTGGCTTGAAATTTTGACAGAGAAGGAGGTTCGGGAGAAGTACCGACTAAGTAAGGAAAGAATAACATGGCTATATGAGCTTATTAAGCACGACATTCAGCCAGATACAAGGAGGAGTCATGCTATTAGCCCGATGACAAAAGTAAATTATGCCTAGATCTATCTTAATAATATCCTATTAAAATAATTCTAGAATTTTACATGTCGCTGTTCATAGTCTACGGTGTCCGTGAAAGTAGAAACGTTTCCCCATCACACCACAAGATTACTCCCCTTTATTCTTTGTCAACTGACCTTGACATTTACTTTATAATGAACGACATCTTTCTACTAAAACTCAGTAGATATTTAACACATTTTATCAGTATTGTATAGGGTATCAAGTAAAAGAAGATGGAAAGGGAAGTATATTTTCTGTAGCTACCACATTTAAAGTGTGTTTTTCTGTAAAAACATAGTAATGTACAGTATTGATGCCTGTCATCATGTTTTTTTCGTACCACAATAATCTCGCGCCGTGTGCAATGCATGACTTATGCGGCATGTGCAGATTAACATTAATTCTCTTTCTTTCTAGAAAAAAACCACTAATGTAAACTAGCTGAAGCGTTTGATAAATAAGTGACCTCTCATTTCTAATTCATTTACAGTACTGTACATAGAATATGTAGATCTAAGTCTATGTATTAGTAATTTGCTGCAACGGTTGCTGGATAGGCGATTGTCTTGGATAACTGTAAGAAATATTAGAATTAAAATTAAATTTAGAAATTAAAATTAGTACTGTAAATCTGTACTCTGTAGGTCTGCCATAAAAATAGGTCAAGTAAAGATGTGCCAAGATTTTATAGGACCAAGATGACACAAAGGCTGAATTAATTTTAAGGTCAAGCTTATTCAGGATAAAAAAGTATGATGTTGTTTCAACTTGTTTGATAATTTTTTCTTTGCCCAGGCTTGAGCAACATCTGAACATAACCTATAAGAAGCATGTATCGATAATGTCTGATATTTTGGACTAGGGTCAAGCTCAATTTGAGTCCTGTTTATTATTCAAAACACTTTACTTGATTACGACATCCCAGCACAAACTTGGTTATGAACATTACTTTTGTTATACATAGAGGATATTGAACGAGTGTAAGTTAAGTACTGAATTTATTGAACGAGTTGAATAAAAATTTATAATACCAACCTCTGTATAGCATAATATTATATTATTCAACAAGATCAATATATTCAGTAATGACCTTACACAAATTTATTACACTTTAAATACCAAAAATAACGACTATTATTTTGAAGTGCAAAAGAACCATTTACATTGATGGGCTGACATCTAGCGCTACTCAACTCTAGACTATGTTTGTATAATGCAAATGACGTCACATAAAAGTATTAGTATGCATGGCCCTGCAATACCATTTTAAGGAGTCGGCACAGGTATGTGTCATGTGATAAGGTTATTTATAAAAGAAAGAATACTTTATTACGATTGATTATGAAAACTTCCACCTTTACCTTGCTGGAAATCAAATAAATATTTGCGACCTTGTTATAAGAAAGGTGCGCACTGAACTGTAACACACCTAATATTTAGTTTGACTGTATTATTTTCAGTTATTGATAACACTACAGTTCCTTGCTAAAGGAGAGTTTTATAGTGAGGGAGGATTGACACATGGAGTGTCGAAAAGTTCAGTGTGCCGGTGCATTTGGCAGGTATTGTTGTTTTTGTTGTTGTTTTTTTGGTTGGCTGTAACGTTGTAGAGTCAAACTATGATGACACCCCGATCTTTACTTGGGAAGGAAGACCTCATCACATGAAGTCACCCTTTGCATAATTTCAGGCACATATTAGAATAACCGCAAACGTTATCATTATGTTACCTTATATTTATCTGTTTATCATAAACTTGGTTGTCACTAAGTTTTCAAAAAAGGTGGTTTTTAATAAGAGGTGGTCATTTTCCTTTGCATCAAATATGACAAAGTGATTTGAAAAAAATGGTGGGTATTATAGTTTCCCCCCTGGCAGGCGGGCTGGGTGGGCCGCGTCTAACTTGTGTAAATGACAAATCTGCTAGGATACCCTGTCTTATATATTAATAATGAGAATTCAACACTATATAAGGACACATTTATTGTCTTGCTTTAAAAATAATGTTCAGTAAAATTGTAATGAATCCTTTATGGAAAAGTATGCAGAGCCCTTAACAGTTATGTTGATATTATGTTTCATTAATTCTGACTCAAAAAGAAAAAAAAATCAAACATTGCTGTTGAAATTAAGTTCAAGTTAAATTTTTCAATGTATTATGTCAACATGAAGCAGATAAATAGTTTTACACAAAAAAATATAATTATTTATCCTATAAAAGTTGATACTAAATCAAACTGAAATCTTATAACATTATGCCTTCTAGATTTCTTTAATAAGTGTATCTTAATAATACCTTTTTTATTATTTTAATCAATGCTTGAATTGAAATGCATATGGAAAATCCATATTTAAAAAAAAAATAAAATAAATGAATTACAGCTACAAAAATTTATATAGCATGCTTAATTATGTGAAAAATGTTATTTCATTTAAATGATGTATATTTTGAAATATTTTAAAAACAGGTAATAGCTGCTTTAGACCAGAGGCTTGACAATATCAAATTCGCCACAAGTCCTGATGAACTTGCTTTAATTAAGCAAAAATTCTAC